TTTATAAATATATAGCAAAAAATTAAAAAAAAGATTCACCAAATATCTCTGTTTTCGATACTCAGGAGTAGAGCTAGTCACGAATACTTTCGGCACAACCACTGGTTTGTACGAGGTTAAAGGTTCTGTAGTTGTAAAAACGTGAGAATTTTTTTCACTTGCATCAGTAATACCAAGGAAGTGTCCTTCCTCGTCAAATCCGTAAGACTTTTTAATAAAACCCAGATCTGCAGATACTAAAAAAAGAATATGAAACTTCGCATCATGATATGAAAATCTAAAAGACTAAAAATGAGAAACAAATTAACAAAGCTGACCAAATAAATATTACATACACTGCGAATTTTCGTCATCGTCGAAATTTGCAGTAGTTTTGCTTTTTTCGATTTGCAATTCCAAATCTGTACCGCTACGATCATCCAAAGTGACTTTTCTCGTGCACTTATTCAAAGAACATATATGCTCCTACAAGTATAAATTCTAAATAACCTTCCCCAGTTCAATAAATATATGTTTAGTTACTGTATAGAGTGAAGTGTTAAGTCACATTTCACACTGCATCAAGCAACTGCAAAGCAAATCGAGATTCATACGTCGGTTAAATAATTAGCCAGTCAAGAATATAACAAAACTCAAATCCAAGAAACAACTTGCAGTATACCTCTGTATCTGCGAAAAACAATGTATCCTGTAATAAGTTGTGCCAAAACATAGTACAAATCACTTTTGGTTGTCCATTTATTTGATATTTACTACATGTTAACAGATCACTGGTTTCAAGCTGCCAAACATAAATTGAGCCATTCATGGTAGATGAGGCCAAGTATGTTCCGCAGGACGACACACAGCATATGTTGAACATTTCCTTAAAAACTATGATTGTATTAATTGACTGCTTTATAGTGTTTCATCAATTTTCTGAAATGATCTTCAATTTTCTCAGTTATTGAATGATTTATGTCATAAATAATCCTTATTAAATGCTCATCTTTTAAGAAATTTTTGTGGGCTGCAAATGAAACGGTGAAGAGAATATGAATGAATTACATATGAATTAGATGCAGTAAAAAATTTGGTTGTTTCTTTAAATGAATCTTTGCTGAATTTTTTAACACATCCAAGTGCTGGAACAAACAGATTATTGCCAGATGGATCCCAACACAGCTGAAGCCTAGAGCTAGATGACCTGCAAGAGAAATTTTTGGCGAGTATTTAAATTAAAAGCTTACTCTTAAGCAAAAACAAAAACCTATAAAGGACGAGAAAATCGCTTACTCTATGTCAACAATACGCGAGCAAATCCGAACAGTGACTGGTTCAGGAATGTCACCCTTCAGTGACGCTATGCCAAAAACACGTAGCATTCCGTCAGTTGCTGTAACAGCCAAGTATTCATCTTTCGAATTAAATGAAACACACATAATCTGTCCATCTGCTTCAGCACGAATTATATCGCCTGTTTCAAGATTTATGATTTTCAAAACGTGATCGCTGCAATAAGGAAACATAAAGAAAAATATATTTTTGGTGCAATATATTAAACTCAATTAACTACTTCTAGAACTTTAGTACTGAAATTACAACTTATTCAGAATAAGCATACATAGAACCAGCAGCCAAAAATTTTCCTGATTTTGATATATCGATGCTAGATATATCCAATGAAAAAGTGGTTATTGATGCAATCAACCGTAGGGAATCTTTCTCAAAACGAGAAACTGCTGACTTTTGAATACCCGTTTGGTCGTCTGTACTTGTATGTCCGATGTAAATATCATTTCCCTAGAAAATCATTTTCTGATAAGCAGTGATGATAATGACAACAGTGATCAACAATAACAAGAAACACTGATCAATAATGGCAACTGAAACAACGATGAATATAATTCGATGACCTAAGCATTTCGTATTTTACCCGGAAAACTAATCTGTAAGTCTTAAAGTTTCTAAGCAACTTTAAGGGTTCCAAATATAACAGATCCAAATTTTTGATGTATGCTTTCTAGATACTTTCAATAGAATATATTGGAAGGTTCTTACATGCCAGGCTATTGCACAATGCGTTCTTCCTTTAATGTTTTTAGGGCAGTATTCAGCTTCATCCAGCTCATCACCCGTCCAAATCCATACATCACCATCAGTGCCAACCGATAAAAATGACTGCAATTTAACTGCTCACTTTAGGTAATATATTTATATACCATGGAAATGATTGATTGTCATTTATTAATGGTTTAATTTTAGATTTAATTGAAATATTATGTTAATGATACTCTGTGGACGTACCTAGCTCTCAGGAAACCTTTTATTGTTCTTTCAATAAACCTTCAAGCTTTTTAGGAAGAGCTGTCATGAAATAATTCTTATTACAAGCGTAACGAAGGCATAATGAAGTACATTACATTACTAATCAAATTCAAATGCTACGAAATTGCGTCCAAATCCCATATCCGTGAATTGATAGCCGTAGTGAACTGAGCATGCCAAGAAGGTCAAAAAGTCAAAAAATGGAGTGACAAAAACGATAATCGCTGAATATACTAATCACTAAAGGGAACATCTTAGTATTATTATCTCAAACTTATTAGAACACATATTTAGCCTGGAATTGCAAGAGATATGGAAGATTAAACATTCTCGCAACTCAATTTATCTAAATAAAAACTAAACAATAGAGAGAACTCGTACCCCACTGTCATCGGTAGCACTTTTATCAACGCATAATTGTATGAATCCTTTGGAATGTAGTAAACGTGGCTCTGCGAATTCACCAGAATACATGTTACGAAATAATAACTAATAAGTGAAATTCGACTTTCTAAAAATTCATGTATTCAGAAATTCATCCCACTGATCTAAAACAATTTATACAATATCTGATTTGCATTAATCTAATTAAGAGTTCATTTAAGTATTTTAACTATTCTCAGTATCTTATTTACGCCTCTCGGAAAATTTCCAAGCAATAATTAAACTAGTAGTAATTTAGAACACGGTTTCACTTCGGAACAATTTCATCACAACTAATTTTGAAGTTTAGAAAAGAAGCAACGATGTAAAATATATAACTATGAACTGCTAACTAGAATAGTGTGAAAGATAGTACGGTCATTTTATATTATACGTAGGAAGGAACATCAATACTCTATTCGTATGGCCATATCGATCATAAATTGGAGGGAGTACCATAACTTCCCCGCTTTATCAGTTGCAGCATTACGCTCATCGCTTCATTATCTTAGGAAATGAGAAAACTTGATAACTTTAATCATATCAGCCTCTTTATCTCTTTTCCCTCGAAACTGCTGCAGACAAAGTTTGCATTCATTAAGTAAGATTTATATATAAAACCGATATTTGAAAAAATAGCAATTTGAATAAACATTTACAAACGTACTGTGGGACTGAATGTTTCATTCCATACATGACAGAGCATTTCGAAATTTAACGTCGTTGCGTACCGATTACGTATGTGTTGGTTTATTTGTTAGGGGAAAACTCGTGGGTTCTGTGAGATCAAAGATAGGTTTGAAGTACGTGGGAGGGTTTATCTAGAAGGGGTTACGTGTGTGGCATGCACTGATCTAATTCCTTTGTTTTATATGATGCTTTTTATCTATTTATCGAGGGTTGCTACTGATACGTATGAAAGGTAGTCTCAGATAGTACGTGATTGTTAAATTTTCGATCATTTCCGCTTGGAACTTTGGTCTTTTATGTACCTCCAAACAGTAGAAAGGAAATAGTTAAAATAATTATTTATTGAAGATTTGAATCGAAGGAGATCAGCAAGATAACTTTCATTCATGGAGGGAATAAGCATTCATGTTAATAACATGGTTGTTTAATTTAAACTATATGTATATTTATAATACTAAGATAATAAAGGACAGACTATGTTATGTCCTATGCATCGCCCGTGTTCCTCAGAAAAATAGGTTGCTATGGATCATTTCAGGACTTGCGTGCAGCTTTTGATTTTAGCAGCCGAAAATGCCTTGTGTAAGTTTATAAATATCTGCTCTATTTATACACTTTGATTGATATTAATGACAGTTATGAGTATTAAAATTGCTTTTTTCAGAAAGTTTATGGGTCTCCAAAAAGTTTTCGAATGCAAAAAATTCTGATAGCTGCCAAAATCGGGAATAAGGATGTCAGTGTGATAGATCAGAAGCCTCCACATAATAAATTCCCTCTTGGAGTGGTTTGTATATATGTATTTCTATGTATTTCTTGAATTTATATATTTCATTCTTAACGAGAAATATCACATCTAGTTCTTTTTTACGTCTTTATGAGAAAGAGATGTATTATTATGCAATAAATGATTTAGTTTGCAGTTTAATTTTCTTTTTGTCAGGAAATGATGTTTTTTAGACTCCAGCAATGGAAGATAACAATATCACACTCTTTGGTGCTGACGCAATTATGCTTCATTTGGCAGGTGAAGCAATGAAGGAAGCAAATGTTAGGATAAGAAATTATTATTTTTCATTTTATGTATCTATCAAAAAAAAATAGAACGAGTACATAATAAGCATTCAATAATAGAAATGAAAATAAACCATTTCATGGTCTATTTTTATTTCTGTTATTGAATGCTTATTATGTACTCGTTATCCTTTTTGTTACGTATTTTCATTATTTCCATTTATTGCATTAACAGACTAATTTTGATTGCTTGCAGTGCTCTGAAGTGTTGCAGTGGATGCAGTGGTCTGAGGGGCAACTAATACCAAATGTTTTAGGTTACGTATTACCGAGCGTTTCAGCCGCTCATATTGACAGTGAGGTATATATGACTAATGTTTTATAGTACCCGGTTGAGTGAACAAGAAAATATAGGTATAGGGTACTCATCTTTCCGCTGCTTTCCTGTCTAATAATGACATAAAATTCTTTGTCAGTAAGAAACCAATGCAATGGTATAGATTGATTCTAATATTTCAAAAGATAATGACTTAGTGTAATTCAAGTGCAGTGTAGCTTTTGCTGCTACAGGCCAATAAGTTTCAGGAAAATTGGAAGGCTATTTTCAGTTAAAAATCGAATATTTAATAACCAGATTATTTAAAGGAATTGTTCTTGTTTGTGTGAGTCATGTTTTTCATATTTAATTTTTCCAGATGTTGGAAGCAGCAAAGACAGAATTGCTTATGCAGCTCAAGTGTTTGAATACACTGCTCCTAACAAAAACTTTTTTAGTCGGAGAAAGGATGTCTCTTGCTGATATTTCTGTGGCGATGGATTTACTTCCTGCATACCAGGTAATTTATTTTGTCACTTGAATTATAAATCAATTACCAAATGTTTTATCGTATTTTTCAGTATGTTTTGGATGAAGCAGCACGTGCATCGCTGATTAACGTTAATCGTTGGTTCAGAACCATAATTAACCAGAAAACTGTTAAAGATGTTCTTGGAGAAGTACAGTTTGCCGTAGAAGTTCTCAGATTTGATAGTAAGCCTGAAATGTTACTAGACCTAATTCATGATTTTAGCCTTGTCTGTTTATTTGTAGATTGCCAAAAAATTATCTTTTCTTTTTTACTGAGAGAAATTAAATATTTGTCTTGCGTTATTAAATTTAGCAAGCCTACTTTTCTACACAATGAAAGATCTTGGGTACATTTCACTATGCTGTAGACCCTCCCAGTGAAAACTTTTTTCAGGTGCGAAATTTAAAGAATTATCCGCAAAGTTATCGAAAGAACGTACTAGTCATAAAGGTTCTGAATTTTGAGTATCTTAAAGTTTTTCTAAAACTTTTATATTTGAATTTTAGGATACATTCTAGTCTGTAATGAGATATTTTTCAGATGGAAAGAACAAAGGACAAAACAAAGAGCAGCAGAAAGAAGGTAAATTTTATTTCTGTAAATGTACATTTTCAAATACTTTATTTCTGGTTGTATATTTGGATTAATGTAAAAAAAATTCAGATAAAAAAGCCAAAAAAATAAAAAACGAGAATGATGATGAAGCAGATGCTACTGATGAAGCGTTAGCTCAGGAGCCAAAATCGATTGATCCTTTTGCCGCTATGCCTAAAGGGTAGAAATTTCCACTAAAATTCTAATTGATTTCGATGTAATCTAAAATATTTAGTTGGTTTTCTTTTCATTTAATGTCTTTTAACTGCACGAGTGTATTTGCAGAAGTTTTGTGATGGATTCCTTCAAGAGAGTTTATTCCAACGAAGATACAGCTACGAAAGCAGTGCCTTACTTCTGGGAGAACTTTGATTCGGAAAATTATTCAATTTGGTTCGCTGAATATAAATATCCCGAAGATTTGACTCTGACGTTTATGAGTTGTAATCTTATAAGTGGTAAATAATCATTTATTATAGAGTGAGAGTATGATATTTTATTTCAAACGTCATGTTTTTTCCCACAAGCGATACACAGAGAAATCATCGCAAAAGAAGTAGACTCATGAGTCGAGAAATGAGGAAAGTTACATATCGTGTTCTACAATTTTAGAGCCAATTATTTCTACTGTAGAAAATCACAATTTGTAAGTTTTGAAATTTCAGGAATGTTCCAAAGATTGGAAAAACTGAAGAAAAATGCTTTCGCATCGGTTTGTTTGTTTGGTACGGATAATTATTCAACAATATCGGGGATTTGGATTTGGAGAGGACATGAATTGGCTTTTAAACTCTCACCAGACTGGCAGGTCTGTTGAATGAATTTCTCAAAATAAGGCAAAATTTTTGTGAATTGGAATTAACTTATAAGAGAAATAAAAAGATCGTTTCTAATGTGAAATTGATCGAAAGTTCCAAATATTGTTATATATTTAAGGTTGATTATGAAAGTTATGACTGGAAGAAGCTAGATCCTGCCGATGAAAAGACGAAGAAAATTGTTAATGAATATCTGATGTGGGAGGGTGATTTTGATGGAAAGACGTTCAATCAGGGAAAGATATTCAAATGATTTTTTAAATCTGCGTGATCTATTGCATTATTGTTGAAGTTATTAAAGATGTAAAAAAATCCACTTTGTAATCTTTCTCTACATTTCTCTGAAACGGAATTGGAAAGCTCCACTGCTTTTATCTCAACAATGTTTGAATAGAATAATGTGTTAATGGTATGCAATAAGCATTTATAATCTGATAGCAGTGATTAATCTATTCATGCCCTCTTGCAGTGATGGGTTTTTTATGTGGATTTTAATGTACAAAGCACTTCGCGGCGATTTAGTATTAGAGTTCTTTAAATTCATTTTATTCCCCTTTTTGTAGTTCCCACATTTGTCTGATAATGGAAAACAGTTTACTGGGAAAACAGAAAAAGAAGCTTTTGTTATATTTATACTCATGAGCGGTTAATTTATTCCATAATTTGCTTATTGAAAATTAGTTGTTAGAGTGAAGTTAGCATTCTTTTAGGACTGAAGATCTTTGCGTGAAAATTTGGATTGTTTTGGTTGGTTGGTTGTTTTGTAGATAAATTTGTAAAAGATTATGCTTTAACAGGGAAATTTGTTAATGATAATTCCGATGGCAATAGATGAATATTTTTTCCCTTTGTTACTGGTTGAAAATAAGGGTTATTGGATTGGAATGAAAAAGCTGATTATGAATTGGTCGAAAGCTGCTGGTAAGATTTAATAATATAGTGGATGAGCTCAGGTTTAGGGGAAAAAATTAGTAGGACGAGCAACAGATTTGTAATAATGAATGGAAGAGGGAGTTCATTTTTGAAAATTTAATTCATATAAGGTGGTTTGTACGGGTACGTGATACAACCCATTTATATGTGAATTAAAGTACCGGATATCCACAATTGTCTTGAAAGATGGGTGCTAAATTAGTGACTAAGATATAATGAGAAGAGAAATACATGGTTTGAGTGATTTTAGACTCCATGACCAATTGTTAGTTTGCTATTAACATGGTAAATAACCAAATAAAATGGTAACATAAGATTGAAATACAGTAATAGTTGCTGGTTGAAATTTTTATTACAATAATAGGGAGATGAAGATAATTACAAAAATCGGAAGCAGAAAATTTGTTGAATACTCAACTGGCATTTCATTTCTTAATAAGTAGGTTTGGCTTACAATAAAATGCAAATGAAAAATGCCGTTTTCTCAAGCTGTGTATGAGTTTGATACATAAGATTTTTTTATAAATCAGCATATCGGATGTGCATAACATCTTACATGAGATGTGCTCAACATCTTGTACATTATACGATTTAAATTAGATAATATTCATCGCTAAGTATGGAAAAATGTTGTAATTAATTTTTATATAATGTGATGAATCCTTTATCTTTTGTCAAAATATTTTTATACAAAGAATAATTTTCTTGCTTTAAGATATTATGATCCTTTGTCTTCAATTTACGACAAGATAGGTTTCTGCGTGCTTAAGACGTGTAGAATTTGAGCTGGAAGAATTTACATCTGAATTAGAATTGAATAAATGATAAAATAGAACGAATTTCCGAGACACAAGTACTTTTATCTTTTGAATACAAAATTTTTTTATAAAATTATCACGGTTTTCCCGACATTCTCAAAGGGGGAAGATTAAGAATGTCTTAAAGAAAGAAGGTTAAGAGTATAGCAAAAGGTAATTTGGATATTAAAAAATTTTTACCTTCGATTCTCTCTAAGAAATCTTTATTATTTTTATGGGAATATTTCCCTCTCGATTTGAATCTTAATACACAAAAAGCAGAAAAGGGATCAAATTACTTCAATGTTTTGTTTGATAACAATTAACATGATTAGTACTGTATACCAACAGTGGTCATTCTCCAATGTTTCCTGAATCCTATAAATTCTTCAATTCACTGAAAATGATATTTTTAACTAGATCAATCTAGTAGCCTTCGATTCCCAACTGTCTGGCCAGTTCTCTCCTTGTTGATCTATATTTATTTCTTTCCATGCAAATTCTTCTCTTGATTGATCAGCTACTGGATTGATCGATTTGTATTTCTGAGCTAATGTCTCTAAATCTGCATTAATTGCATCTACCCTGAATTCGACAGTTTTCCAATCAGACTTATTAGGATTACAAGGGTTCGATTCTTTTTGCTATTATATCACCTCTTTGTAACAATAGTTTAACTATCAAAGTTGGTTATTTATCGGTATCCATTCGATTACCAATAATTTTTGGCAACTAATTATTGCTTGAATTCGAATTAAAAAAACCAAAATTTTTGTTGTGAAAGAAGTTTGTAGATTGATTAACTGTTGATTCACAGACAAATAATTTATAGAGATTCATTTTTTTAGTCAAGGAACTTATATGAACAATTCTAATATCAATAGATGAAATGAGCAGTAGAAATATAGTTGCGAGAAAAGGGGAAGAACACATGCAGGAACGGATGAAATGAATAAATAAAAGCTGTTTGTTCCGTATATTTCACTGTTTATGTATGGTGATTTACAAAAGTGTCTTGTGATACAATCCAGAAGAAAAATTCAATCATGAAAAGAACGATGTAATGCGAACTGTCATAACTTCTATACTGATACTACTCTTTTTTAGATCATGGATCATAACAAGATTTTTAATTATATACTAATAAAAAAAAAATTGAGCACCTGAATTGACATATACCTGACTGTTAATGCCACCAAATCTTCCTAAAAAATCTAAACATGCAAACGATTCATGCAATAACAGAAAGGAGAAAAAATAATTTCATATAAAAAAATATTCTAGTTTGCCGTTTATAGTTCTAAATTTTGTCATCTCGACGATCACATTTCGAAATCTAAAACAAGAAATGAAGTGATTGAAAATGGAGAACTAGAATGGGAAATGAACCACGAAATGCAAAATTGGTAAATTATATTGTCGCAGCTAATAATAACAACTAAAGAAAAAAAATATTCTTAAACTCGGCTAACTCGTGCTGGCCGAATATATATTGATGGAATGTCACTGTCACCGGATGACGGAGTTCTGGGAGAGGAATGGGGACTTGCCGACGAAGAAGATACAGGAGAACGATTTGGTGGTTCAGGTGCTTGATGCTTTAGTCGATTTTTCTGTGATTTCTTGTGATGTGGTTTTTTCGGCACTTCTAAAATTTGCAAGTTTTATAACTTCAAAATTTTATTGCACCATTGCACTTTAGCAAGTGAAAGATCTCACCGTAATAGCCACTCGATATGGAAGCGTTATTGTCAAGTCCCTTGTCGCAATCTTTAAAAAAAACCTTCGTTAAACTAATTTATAGGCATTCACAAATAATATAATAAATTTACTTCACTCTGTCCGATAGTGATTTATGGCAAATAAAAAAAAAAACAACTTAACCTTGAATAAATGAATCGATATCACTCGTTACGCTATTCACTGACCTCGACCTTCGATTAATAACTTCCAAATCAGCGAAACTCGGCTGCAGTATGATAAATTTATAATATAAAATGTATTTGGCAATAATTACTTTGAGTCAGCCTCAGTAGCTCTGAATTAGATGATTCTGAATTGAAATTCAAGAGATGTAGATTTCTGTCCTAAAAATAAGAATTTGTAGAACTTGCTTGACATAGAGACCAATAAAAAATAATACAAAAAAGCAGCATACAGGCGGTCTCGGACGCTCTCTACGAAGTGATCGTAAAATTGATGGACGGCCCTGTTTCTTTACTGAAGGATTATCTGAAAAACAGTAAAACTTTATGTATATGATTATTTATAGCAAAAAACAAACAGTTAAGAAGCAAAAATAACTATCTTCTCCTGAACTGTACGAAAATTTTTCATGATTTACAAGGAAAAAATCATTAATATTTCAAATTGTTACAAACTGACCACTCTTGTCGAATCTTACGCTTTCACTTCGCCCACTTTCTCCACGACTTATGTTAGAATTAAATGAAAGCTCGAAATTTGAATCAGTTTTCAGTGATGAAAAGTTCGGTGGATATGGTGTATCCTCCTATAAATAAAAAATTAAGTTTTACATAGGTATATTTAAATTTTATCACAACATTTAATGTAAGCCTTTGAAAATGAAAAAAAATAATTGAGAAGTCAGCAATGTATGTTGGAAAACCTGATACAATGGACAACCGCGCAAAGCTTCAAGTTGTGGCAAAAGATCAGCAAATCGTGGACGTTCTTCTGGATCGTAAATCCAAGCACGTTCCACAATAGCAAAACTGTAATCAACTAATTACTGATGGAGACGAATGAATACGATAATAAATATATCAAAAAATAAGTACAAATAAATTTACATACATTTCATCTGGACAGAATTGTGGCTTCTCTAGCTTGCCACCATTCTTCACAAAGGATATTACCTGTAATGAAAATAATTTTCTAATTGCCTTTTGAAATTTCTGTGAACTAAACAGCTTTATAAAAGCTTTAATCTTTTGCCACTTTTTGCAATGAGTAAAAACAAAAAATGAAAAAACCTTAATTTAATTTAAAAAATTAATTAATCAAAAGACTTCTACCAAAAGTTTTTAGTTTTTTAATCAATTAATTCAAAAAAAGTTTTTAAAATTTTGACCAATTAATTTTCTTAAAAACTAGCTTTTTCACATCAAACCAAGTCACACTTTGATATTTTTACCTGAACATTATTTTTGCCTGAGAAAGGTTGTTGTCCGAGAGTTAAAATTTCCCACAGCAGTATACCAAATGACCATACATCACTTTTTGATGTGAAAATACCATCATTAATTGATTCTGGTGATAACCATCGCAATGGCAAGAAATCATCTCCATGTACGCGGTAGTAATCGTTGGTATAAATATCACGAGCATGACCAAAATCCGCTACAATAAGTGATCAAATATTTTGAGAAAAAATTAATAGCTTAAGAAGATAGAATAACAGAAATTAATTAAGTTTTAGCTATTAATTTTTTTCCCAAATTCCGTTTTCTCCCTTGCTCAGAATATCATTTAATATTTCCTGGAATATTTCACCAATTTCGTGACTTCAAGTTTAAAAAATTTCAAGTGAATATTTCATATTAGGTTTAGAAGTGAATTATTACCTATTTTTGTAATTCGTGTATTGGAATTCCTTGAAGAAATGAGACAATTTCTTGCTGCCAGATCGCGATGTACACGTTTTTTAACTTCCAAATATGCGGCACCACGCCCTACGTCAACCATCATTCCTATCAGTTCGTATAACGAAAGTTGTGACGGGAGACAATCAGATGGACGGCTAAAAATGAACTGTCAACATGTAGAAGAAAAAATTCACAATATTAGTCAAATATTAGCCATTTTATAAAACGACTAAAAAGATTTAAGAGAAAAATGAAAACCTAGAACGAAGAAATCCAAGAAGGTCGCCGCCTTCCATAAGTTCAATAATCAGAAAATATGGTTCTGTTTCGAGTGATACGCCCAATAATTTAACAATATTTGGATGGTCGAAACTGCTTTAAAGAAATAAAATTAGATTAGAAAATTATAATTGCAATTCTGAATCCAATTATATTTCACCAAAAAAACTCTGCAAACACTTACTTCATCAAAATTGCTTCTTGAAGGAATTTCATTCGACCTGATTCAGAGAATCCGCTTCTCAGAGTCTAAAACTTTGAATTGTTTCTTTTTCAAAACTTAATGATAACATGATGAAATGAATCGATTCTCATTTAAAAAAGGTCTAATTGCATTCTTAGTTATTTGAATTGCAAAGATTAGGTAGAAATGCATAATCTAAAACTGACTTTGACAGCAACCCGAACTGCTTTTGCAGGTGACTGAGGTAATCCGTCTACAATTCCTTCGTAAACTTCTCCAAAACTTCCTTTCCCAATTATGCGTAAAAGGCTGATGCTATTTTTTGGTACTCGAGATATAGCTGAAAATAAAAATTCATTTCATTTAAAAGCAATGAAAGAGAAATGCTGAACAGGCTACATTTTTGCAGCAAAATCGTGACATACTTTTTAGATCATTGATAACGTGTGGAGGCAAAATATTTCTTCTGACTGAATTCGTATAACCATGCAAGCTTATATCTTGCAATCGAATCTTATTGCCCTTTCTATCATTTCGTTGATAATACACTAAAATAAAATATAATAAATTCGTTTTTTTAAATCATCATATTCTTTTATTATTACTATTATTGATTACGACTTTCGCAATTTAAAATTAGAAATTCACTTCCAAATCAGCTATTAATGATGTTTTAATTGTACAAGTAAACATATACCAAACAATATAGCAATAATAGTAGTTAGTAAAACGATAGCAATCAGAAGCGTAATAATTATAATCCATAACGAATGAGTGTGCGATTCTCCTAAACGATCTGAAAGTTAAGTGCAGGAAATTTTCCAATAAAAAATATAGAACGATAACGGATCTAGGACAAATTTAAGATAATAATGAGAATTATTCGAATAACAAAAATTATTGGAAATGTTCCGTGCTCTGAAATATATTCTGAAAATTAAAGTAAAAATAAATTTTCCAAAACAATACCGCTATGATACTTCGAATATGCATATGCACCAAAACCTTCCGAATTTGCCGCTCGAATACGAAATTCGGCGCATTCAGCAAGAAAATTAATTCTCAATGGTTTCCACCATAAACAGGCACCGTCTAATCCTCGTTCAGCTATCTCCCATTCAGCATCTTCATTTGGTCTTCAAAAAATAAATTTAAAAAATTGTTTGAGAAATCCTTCGATTAGTACTTCGTTTTTTTTTTCAATAAACTTAACTTTGATGGTGTACATAGAATCTTGTAAATTTCATATAAAAATTTTGTGGACCTAAATTCAAGAGCATATGAAGTGATCGGTGAACCACCATCATTTGATGGCTTTTCCCAACGTACAATCCATTCGTTGTATTCCTGAACAAGACGTATACTTGCTGGAGCTGATGGAGTTCCAGCTAAAAAATGTCGAATTTTCAGAGGAAATTAAAAAACTTCTTTATTATATTTAAATCTAATTATGTTTGTCCCTTTTTTCAAATAGAAAACGTTACGTTTTGTTCGAAATTGTTGTGAAATTTGCAAAAATGTTTCATTGTATGAGTAATCATAATTTGCATAACGATAACTATCCGCATATTCAGCTGCAAAACGATAATCATAAGCGGTGGCTGAATGCAATGCACGCACAACAATAGCTACAGACTTTGCAGAACCTTCGAATGATGCATTATATGGTGACTTCCAAATAGCATTCGTTGAAACCTTAAACATTAAAAAAATTAATATAGTAATAATTATCCAGAAATATTAATTTTATCAAAAAAACTAAAATAATAAAAAAATCAGAAAACGAAAATAATCAATAATAAAACTAATATATGTATATATTTTGTAATGCATTTTTCATATCGAAAAATATCCTTTTATAAGTTTTGCATCATTGAGAAAATTGCAAAAAGTTTTTAGCTTTAGAAATTGATTACTAACAATTTCTTCTCTTAGTAAGTATTCTATAAATGTAACATACCATCCGATATTGGATGGATATGCGTTTTGGATAAGATTCAGGATCCAGTGAGTTCCATCGAAGTACAACAGAGGTACCAGTAATATTATCAAGGCGCAATGTTCCAGCTATATCTTTCGTACGAACTGATGCTTCTATGGAATTTCCTTCTGCATCATCCACAAATTGCATGTTCAAATGACTTTCATGAATTGCACGTATCTAAATTTATAGCGTAACTTGCTGTTGATTAAATGATGTAGATTTAAATGACTAGAAAACTAAAACAAAACTTAGTATATTGTTGATTAAATGATTAAGAAACTTAGTATCTAAATCATAGCTTAACATATCTTTAATTAAATGGTGTATTAGAAATTAATACTATTTTTTCATTGTTAAATTTATATTGAATTGAAAACTGTTTTAAGATGGAAAAGATAGATCCATACTTCTTCAAAACAGATAAAGACCAATAAAGCCATAAATAATAAAATTAAATAACTGAAAACTCAAAAACTAGAGCACTCCTATTTAATTATTTCATTATGAATAAAGCATACGTAAATGATAGTTTCTACTTTTTTAAAATGTAATTTATGTGTTCATTTTATATCAACGCTTTTATCTAATAAAAACTACCCAAAATTTGTAATCGGTAGAAGGTCGCAGATTGGAAATCTTTGCAGAACAAGGGTCATTCTGGCAGGAAACAACGTCTGTTGGCGTTGAGGCATAATGAACTCCTTCAAATTGCTGCGCGCCGATAGCTGAGGGTGAAAGTTGTGTCGTACTAAGTTGACTAATCTGAAATAATACTTAATAAATTTATCTCAATACTATTTAATTAATTAATTAATAGCCAGTGAGAATTCACTATTAACAACAAAGATGAGATGATCTTCTGAAGTGTCTGAATAAAAAAGATGAAATGACGATTGCCAGAAATGTCAGATAAACATTTCTAAATACACAATGCAAATAATTGGAAGATGACATATTGAGACCACTTAACCGTAAGAGCCAATCATAGATGCTATTACTTAAGTTTGGTGAGAGAATGGAACAAAAAACACCAGCATACCATATATTTGATTTCAGAAATTGGTGCATTCGGTTTCGCAGGTAGTTTCCAATAAAGCAATACAACATCTGGAGTTAATGCAAAAGCGGTTGGGTCCTGTGGTGATGATGGGAAACCATAACCGGTACGAAGCATTTGTGTTGCACTAGCTTCTGATACTGGTGTATATCGGTTAAACCATGAGACCGATATATCGTAGCTGCAATAGTTAGGAAAAAAAATATAAAAATATTTCGTTTTTTCCTAAACAATCATTATGTAACTTAAAATAATTCGAAAATATTTTATCCAGCACAAGTCATGATATTTTCTACTGGAATCACTCCAAATGATAGCAAATACCAGATCAAATTAGGTTTTTAACTGAACTTGCGGCATTAACAGTAAAATACTTTTCTAATTTATGCATCTTTAATTTCAAGCGCCTTACTCAACTTCTTTGTCCAGAATACCATTCTCGACATGAAGGACATTGCTAATACTATGAATATTGCGAATTTTATCAGATCCTCTTCGTTGGAAATGAATTTCATACTGCGTTGGAGGCAATGAGATACCCTAAAGTAAATTAAGGGATTCAAAAAAAGCAAAAAAAAAACAACTGATAAAAATTAAGAGAGCTAAAACCATACAGGACAAACGTTGGGCAACTGAGGTTCAATGATCGAAATTAATGCTCCATTTCGTCCTTCATTTTGTACCGTAAATTTAATATCCGATGCTGGTGGTAAAACAAAACAGGATCGCTCTGAAGAGAGATAGAGCTTAAATAATTTTAGAGCTTAAATAATTTTTATTAAAAATAAACGGTTCTTTTAATATCGTTTGCATGACTAGCGCAATATAATTTTTGAAAAATCATGCATTAAGAGCATTAATAAGATCTTTTAAAATCAACTCTTAATTTCAATTATCAGTTGTATGGTCTCATCATAAGTGCAAAAATATATAATAATAAGTGACGTTTCCTAACCTTTGATAAGAAATATAGATTTGAGAAAGAGAAGAATTTTTGTTTATCATTGAATATTAATACTGAGACGTCGATATTTGTAATAATCTAATTGTATTAAAAGCATCAACAAGATCTTTTAAAAAAAAATTTTTTTTCAGAAATATATTTCCTCCAATAAATTTCAACGCAGGCCTTTTTACTTACAAAAAGTGGTTCACTTTTTGCATCGGATCTCAATACGGGTTGGAAGAAAATATGACTCTCAAGTTTGACCTCTTTTTAACCACTTTTTGCATCGGATTTCAATACGGGTTGGAAAAAAATATGACTCTCAGGTTTGACCTCTTTTTTTCTTTTCCTGCTTTTCAATAAAAATATAAATTATGGTTGTAATTTCTATTATTTAATAAAGTATAAGAAATTGAAATTTGAAGCATTAAAATTTCAAGCTAATAAATAATTTGAGATGAAAATAGGAAAGACCACATACATACCGGGAAATGGTTGGGTAGACTGGGTGGCAACAAGAATTTGTTTGAGAGGTGAGCCATTGATGACGATTGGTGTTGCAGTTGAAGAGCCTAATTCATAGACAATAAGCGTGGAAGAGGTGACAAAAATGTATAATTTGTCAGCGATTGCAAAGGATAGTATTGATTTGGGTCCTTTTTCTAAAATGTTCAATTATTTAATTGTGCTAAAAATTTAACTCATACATTTTATGATAATGTTCGCTTATCATTAAAAGCTTTTAAAAAAAAAGGAAGAGCAAGATCGCATATGCAGACATACCTCCAAATTTTTCCCATGCAAATTTTATTTCTTCGCATTCTAAAGATGTTAGATCGACGCGTACCATACCATTCCAAGTAAGCACATAAATAGCCGGTAATGAAGCCAAATTCCAGGCAAAATCAGCCACCATCCATGATATCGTTTCTGATTTCAGACATTCTAACCTAAATAATGCTTCAAATTTCAATTTCTTATGCTTTCTTAAATAATAGAAATTACAGACATAACTTACGTTTTTATTGAAAAACAGGAAAGGAAAAGAAAAGGTCAAACCTGAGAGCCATATTTTCTTCCACACCCGTATTGAAATCCAATGCAAAAAGTGAACCATTTTTTGTAAGTAAAAAACCTGTGCTAAAATTTATTAGAGGAAATATATTTCTGAAAAAAACACTTTAATGAAAATGATCTCAGCAAAAAAAAATCACTAAAAAAATTAAAAGATAAAGTGAACTTTGAAAATGGATCAAAAAGTAGTTGCTTCGCATCACCGGCACCCGATGAAAGATTCATTATACGACGTGGCGTAATCATCGAAAGACTCTGAAATTCCAACTTTGATATTAAATGCATTATGCTCGTGGATTGAAAAAGCATAACATTGTGATAAGGACGGAATATTATGATAACAAATATCACTAAATCAATCAATAAACGATTATTAGTATAATCATTGATTTATAAGTATTTGCAAATTGTATAGACTGTTAATAATGAGTAGATAGTACTTGAATAGCATCAAGAGGTAGTTGCATAACATATGCTGTTGAAACGAATAATAAACGATTAGCAACCCAATCAGACGTCATTGCATCAACTTTACCAATTTCACCACCTATTGAAACCTAAATTCTTTATAAAATTTTTTCTAAATTTTCAATGCACTTGGAACGAAAATGATACCTACCTTATGTAGAATGTTTTCCACATTATTAGGGTCAAGGCGAAGTAGAAATGGTTGTACCGAATCGGAATCTTTTCTTATTGAATACAAATCATTACCAATATATGTTATTGATTGTTCTGTAACCTGAAAATAAAATTTAATATTTGAAGTATAAATAAAACAGAAAATAGTTTAAAATTTTAACTATAAGTTTATTTATAATCAATCCAAAAATATGTACTGTTGGTAGTGATGGAGTCTGTCGTTTCGCACGTGTTGATAGTTGTGATGAAGAAGATGACCAATTTGATATGGAAAATACATTATTGTTCGAATCAATTGCAAATAAGCGAACAAGTGGTCGTAATTCTAAAAATGTTCTTCCATTAAAGATAATTTAAAGTAAAAATATTGCGATAAACAGTTACAAAACGGACACATAAGTTAGATAGGGTTGAATAATTAATAATTAAATAGAGCTTAAATAGTTAGTCATTAGGGACGCATTAAGAAATAATTCAACAGATGAAGGAAATTACAGAAAGAATTCAAACGTTCCAAATAACAATGCGCGCATCTTACAATAAAAAACAAGTAATAATAAATGAAATGAAATTTTAATTTTAATTACTTTAAATTTTATTGGAAATATAACTAACCACTACTATCAATGGTAACAGCTTCCGAATATGTTTCAAGTTTTGGTTCATTATAAGCTGCTACAGCACAACTAACACTTCCAGATTTCACACTAAAAGAGTAGAAACGTATTGTGGCGGGCACTTCTGCGATCGGTTCATTCAAACCATCCACCGTACAATTAATCAGATAACCCAATGCTTCACCGTTCCATTCCACTGGTTCATCCCAGAATAAATCCATTAGCGCCCGTGCACCATCAACCGTTTTCTGTAACTTATCGATAAATATCACCAAGATAAATATTTGCAATAGTTTGCAAAAGAAATTTACTTTTTCAATATTGAAAAATGAACAAAAAAGGACCTGTTGTGTAGCATAAATAGTGGGATTTTTTGGTGGAGTTGGTGGTTTAGTTGGCGCCACTAAGCCAATTTGATTAATTGATATCATATCCCAAGCAGTCAGCGCTTCCACTTCAGCATCATATTTTTGTTTTGATGGCCATTCATGAAGAAGTGTGTCACTTATTGTATAGCTGTGCGCTAATGAATAATCCACAAAGCGATCTCGACCCCACTGTTCTTTGTACAATGTAATCTAAATGTTCAATCTTTTATAACAATAAACCGAATAGGATGTAAAAATATATAAAGACTACTTGTATCAGCTTGAAAACTCGACCTCTTGTTATACAACATTTTATATACCATGTTATGGTATGACCACAGAGAAATCTATGATCATATAAAATGTCGATAGTAAAAGGTCATTTTTAAAGGTGCAACAAACCCATCAAGCAATAACTCTCAAATGATACTAATCTATTATTTGTTGTATATATTTCTAAAAAAAACTCATTTTTTGGAGAATGAATAGAATTTACAAAATTATTTGTTGTTCATTTTTTTTAAAAATTAGCGAAATAAAAAGCCAACAAACCTTAAAAATAGTCTTTCCTTTCAGGGACATCGGCTCAGTAGCCCATACAAGTGTATTTCTAGCAGTGCTATCATCTGTTGCTAAAGCACCTGTGAAGTTAATTGGTTTTAAAGAATCCAAATTAAATACTGGCACAAGTGCTACATTCTTGAGAGCCAAATTGATGTTTAATGAGCCAAGCTTCTTATCACAAACACCAATTTCACCCGTATCAGTGATAAATACCATTTTCTCTTTAACAACAATTAATTGTCGTAATCTAAAATAATTCATTCTATTTTTCAAATATAGAATTAATAGGAAAGTTTTCAGAAAAAAAATCAAGTCACAAAAACTGTGCGCTATTTCGCTATATAGCATGGATATATAGCGAAATAGCGCACAGTTTTTTTAATGATATTAGACAAGCAACTTTTAAAATGTATTGCCATTATTTTGCGAAAATTTTGAAATCATCATTTTTTTATATTTCATTTCGTGATTAAAATTAAATACTGCTAACGAACATAGGAAAATCTTGTGATGAAGCGATGAAATACGATGTCCGAATGTCTTGATTAAGAGCATATAAACTTGTTGTCCCGTTTGAAAAACGAATCAGATAGAAAACATCACCCGTTTCATCATCACCAGCTAAACCAGCAACCTCACCACATCCACTAAAAGATCCGCAAAAATAGATCCTGAAAATGTTTTTGTTAACCTCTATCACTCCAAAGTACAAAAAAAGGCAACGATTACATTATTTTAATAACAAA